AGGCAGTGACAACGGTGTTCCGAATCCCTATCCATAAAGTCTTGGACCAAATACGAAACCAACCCTATTTCAGAACTCCAGTAAGAACACCAGGGGAGTTCATGGGAAGAAACGTTGGTAGGCGTTGTGATTACCACAATGAAGAAGGGCACCCAACTCAGGGTTGCAGAGCCCTTAAAGCACACTTAGAAGACTTAGTAAGACAAGGCTATCTGAGGGACCTTATTGATGAAGCCAAGACAAGAGAAGAACAGGCAACATTGCCTCAAGCACGAGCAGCTCCACCACCTCCAGCACAGCAACCACAGGCAGGAGGACCAAGGGTGGTTAAAGTAATCCACTCAAGGGTCAATGAGAACGAAGTCAGAGGAGAAACCCAGAGGGTAAGGCATTTACAGCATGTCTACCAAATCAGGGAAAAAAGACCTCGGCATGAAGAAAGCCAAGGACCAATGATAACCTTCACCGAAGCCGACCTAGAGATGGTCCAACATCCGCATAATGATGCCTTGGTAGTATCCCTCCAGGTTGGGGAATGCCAAGTAAAACGCATCCTAATAGATCAAGGCAGCTCTTGTGACATCATGTATATCAGATGTTACAAGGAGCTGGGCCTTCATCCTGATGACCTGGAACAATCCGGCAACCCTATGATCGGCTTCAATGGAACGCCGACATGGCCACTGGGCGCCGCAAGCGTGGAAGTACAAGCTAGTACTAAGAAGATCAAAACAGAATTTATGGTGATTGACACACCCTCACCATATAACATCATCTTGGGAAGACCATGGTTGCATGCGATGGGGGCAGTTCCCTCAACATTGCATCAACTACTACGGTTCCCCACAGAACATGGAATTGAAGAAGTCGGAGGAGATCAACTGCAGGAAAAAAGTTGCTCCATGGCGGCAACAAAGTCCACTTGCAACATTCGAGAGCCAAAAGAGGCAGAAATTGAAAACGAGGACATGGAGGTCCTAGATGATGTCGGCAAGAAGCCAACCGAAAAGAGTGAAGAGACACTAAAGAAAATCCTAGTCTAGGAGGGCGACGAAGAACGTTTCTTTCTTCTCGGTTCAAGCTTAGCCGAAGAAGAGGAAAGAGAATTGGAAGATTTTTTGAGAGCCAACATTGAGGTGTTCGCCTGGACACCTTATGAAATGCTTGGCATTGACCCCGAGGTCACTTGGCACAGGCTAAATGTCGACAGGTCGGCAAAACCTGTGATTCAACGAGTCAGAAGACCGACGTTGATGCACGTCGAAGTAGTAGAAGAAGAAGTAGACAAACTTCTGGAAGCCAGGGCCATCCGAGAAGTTCACTATCCGACATGGCTGTCCAACACAGTAGTAGTGAAAAAGAAGAACAGTAAATGGAGGATCTGTGTAGACTTTACCAGCCTCAACAAAGCCTGCCCCAAAGACAGGGGGTACCACCAGCTAGTAGATACAACTTTAGGGCATGAAAGGATGAGTTTTCTAGATGCATACAGGGGGTACCACCAGATTGCCATGTACCCTCCAGACGAGGAGAAGACTGCGTTCATCACCCCTAAAGGCTTGTACTGTTATAAGGTAATGCCTTTTGGGTTGAAAAACGCAGGAGCAACTTACCAAAGGTTGGTAACAAAGATGTTCAAGCACCTGATTGGCAAAACGGTAGAAGTCTACATCGATGACATGGTCGTGAAGACCAAAGAATCTAAGGGACATCTTGCCGACCTAAAAGAGATCTTTGATATACTCAAAACATACCGGCTCCGACTCAACGCATCAAAGTGCGCGTTTGGAGTTGGATCAGGTAAGTTTCTAGGGTATCTGGTAACGAGAAAGGGCATAGAGGCCAGCCCAGACCAAATCAAGGCCATCCTAGAACTGCAGAGCCCGACGTCGGCGAAACAGGTTCAGATGCTTACTGGAAGGGCCACAGCCCTAAACAGATTCATCAGCAGAAGCTCAAATAAATGCAGACCCTTCTTCAACTTGGTAAAAAAAGCCACAGATTTTCTGTGGACAGAAGAATGCGAAGCCGCTCTAGTCGACCTAAAGAAGTACTTGACCACAACTCCGGTTCTTTCCAATCCAGAACTAAGGGAAGAACTGTTTTTGTACTTGGCAGTTTCAGAACACGCAGTAAGTGCAGTACTAATCCGAGAAGAAAAAGGCGAGCAAAAGGCGGTCTATTATGTAAGCAAAACCTTGGCCGATGCAGAAACAAGGTATCTACCACTAGAGAAATTAATACTGGCCTTAGTAATGGCTTCAAAGAAGTTGAACCATTATTTTCAGGCGTACAAGATTGTGGTCCTAACAGAGCACCCACTGAAGTCCTTGTTACAACAAGGAGACTTAACAGGAAGGATAGCAAGATGGGCAGTGGCCTTGGGCCAATATGACCTGGAGTTCAGGCCGAGAACAGCAATAAAGGGCCAAGTTTTGGCCGACTTCGTGGCAGAATTCACACCTGAAACCATCGAACATCGGGCTACGTTGAGCCGAGATGAGCAGTATCCCAGCAAGCAAGGAGAAGCCCAGCCAAAGGCAAAAGAGCAAAGGAAGGAAAAACTCAGACCCTACAGCATCTACATCGGCGATTCATTCAGACTGTTCGTCGATGGAAGTTCAAACCGTCAATGAGCGGGGGCAGGAGTACTGCTGATAGCTCCAGATGGAGAAATAATAGAACAGTCCATCCGTTTGGGGTTTAAGGCCTCAAACAATGAAGCGGAGTACGAAGCATTAATTGCAGGGCTAAAACTGGCAGCAGCAGCAGAAGCAGATGAGGTAATTGTTTTTTGTGATTCACAACTAATTGTTAACCAGTCAACAGGAGATTTTGCAGCCAGGGACGAAAGGATGTCGGCATATGCAAAAGAGGTCATCAGTTTGGCAGCCCTTTTTCAGAACTGCCGACTACTGCAAGTCAGCCGAGATTACAACACCCACGCCGACGCGTTGGCTTACCTAGCAAGTTCAATACAGACTGGAAAAACAAGAACAATTATGATCGACTATATGTCGGGCCCGAGCATAGAACCAGAAAGCACAAAGCAGCAAGCAATGTGTGTGGACATGGGGCCAAGCTGGATGGATGCAATTATTGCATTCCTAAAAGAAGGAAAGTTGCCAGAAGATCGTAAGGAGGCACATAAAGTCAGATTGAAATCCGCAAGATTCTGTTTGACAAAAGATGGACATCTTTACAGAAAATCCTTCACTGGACCCCTTTTAAGGTGCGTACACCCTTTGCAAGTTGAAGATTTCCTATATGAAATTCATGAAGGAATTTGTGGAAGCCATGCTGGGGGCAGATCATTAGCCCACAGGGCTATTACCCAGGGGTATTGGTGGCCCTATATGCAAAAGGATGCTGAAGTCTACGTGAAGAAGTGTGAACAATGCCAAAGGTTCACTCCTTTGATACATCAGCCAGCTGCTGACCTAAACCCAGTGTCCAGCCCTTGGCCGTTTGCCCAATGGGGCATGGATCTGGTTGGGAAACTTCCCCAGGCAACTGGGCAGAGAAAATACTTGCTGGTGGCAACAGATTACTTTACCAAATGGATAGAGGCAGAACCTCTTGCCAAAATCCGATATGTGGACGTCAAGAACTTTATATGGAGAAACATCATCACCAGATTTGGCATTCCAAGAGTAATAGTTGCCGACAACAGAACACAGTTTGACAGCAAACTCATCAAGAACTTTTGTGCCAAATTCAAGATCAAGTACTTTTCAACACCAAGTTTTCCCCAAAGTAATGGTCAAGCAGAAGCATCCAACAAAGTAATTTTGGATGGAATAAAGAAGAGACTGTAGGCAGCAAAAGGAAAGTGGGTAGACGAGTTGCCCAACGTGCTTTGGGCATATTGGACTACGCTGAGAAGATCAACAGGAGAATCCCCCTTTGCCATGGCTTATGGCACAGAAGCTGTCATCCCATTGGAGATCGGCATCCCAGGGATCAGGACCCAAGGAGTAGAGAATGGCACTAACGACATAGTCTTAGCCCGAGATCTGGACCTTTTGGAAGAACGAAGAGAAAAGGCTGCAATTCAGCTAGCAATATACCAGCAGCAGCTTGTTAGAGCTTACAACAAAAAGGTCAATCCAAGAGATTTTCAAGTCGGCGACCTAGTCTTGAGAAAAGTCGTCGGCAACAAAAAGGATCCCAGAGAGGGCAAGCTTGGCTCAAACTAGGAAGGACCCTACAGAATTACTTCGGTATTAGGCAATGGAGCTTATCGGCTTGAAGATAATGAGGGCAAAGTACTGCCAAGACCTTGGAACACTTGTAATTTGAAATTCTTTTATCATTAGATGTGCAGTATTTTTTGCCGATGTCTTTAATAAAGTTTTTTCAAGAATTCTTTCAACACATATGACTGATAAAATTACATACCGATGTTTTCTGGAGACATGAATTGAATAATGAGAATCCAAGTAGAACTCAGGTTCACATTGGGGGTAGAAAGAGGAAGAATGCGTTTACCACTTGTTGAAATTTGTAACAATTTACAAGTTGGTTAAACCAAGATAATGTTTAAAATTGAAATTAGACTGGGATGATGCTTAACCGAAGTTAAGCCGAAATGATTCCTTGTCTTCACTTGTTGAAATTTGTAGCAATTTACAAGTTGGAGTCAAGCTGATTCTGTCTTCACTTGTTGAAATTTGTAGCAATTTACAAGTTGGAGTCAAGCTGATTCCTTAATTCACTTGTTGAAATTTGTAGCAATTTACAAGTTGGAATTAAGCTGATTCCTTGTCTTCACTTGTTGAAATTTGTAGCAATTTACAAGTTGGAGTCAAGCTGATTCCTTGTCTTCACTTGTTGAAATTTGTAGCAATTTACAAATTGGAGTCAAGCTGATTCCTTAATTCACTTGTTGAAATTTGTAGCAATTTACAAGTTGGAATTAAGCTGATTCCTTATCTTCACTTGTTGAAATATTGTAGCAATCTACAAGTTGAAGATAAGCTGAGATTACTGTTTCTCTGCACTTGTTAACATTTGCAACAATTTACAAGTCGAAGTAAAGCCGAGGTTATAGTTTGCAACTTATAGCAATCTACAGGTTGATCCAACCAAAGAAGATGCTTAACACTTGTTGAAATTTGTAGCAATTTACAAGATAATGTTAAGCCGGCATGTGATCATCCGTTGAAATTTACAGCAATTTGCAAATTGAAGTAAAAGCTAAGTATATTGTTCAAACACTTGTTGAAATTTGCAGCAATTCACAAATAGACCATTATTTAACATTTGTTATAACTTGCGAATAGTTTACAGTATATGTTAACACTTGTTGAAATTTGTAGCAATTTACAATTAGGTTAGACCGAGATCACTGTTTACATACTTATTGAAACTTGAGAAGAAATTTGCAGAGTTAATATTGAATAGTATATGCTAAACACATGTTGGAATTTATCAAGAGCTTTCAGGTCTGTATCTTGCCGAAGTAAAGTTGGATGATTGATGTACCTGAGGTGTGTAGCCCCGAGGAGATTGCACAAAGGTGGCAAAATATAGAAGGCATACAACCATGCAGAAGCAAATCAAAGAGGAATTAAAAGATTGAAGCATCCATAAAAAAAAAACAATTTCAGTTACATACAAAGAAAGGCACATCGGCCATAAAAGGAAGTTTACATTGTTCAGAAAACAAAACAGAGTATAAAAAGGCAAGGACATAAAGACATTTAAATTAGGATTCTTCAACATTAACAGCTAGGGGCGCTGGGACCTCGGAAGATTCTGGTGGAACCTCCTCGACAATGTTTTCTGCTTCAATCTCGGCGTCAATCTCTGCAAGAGTTTCATCAAGGCTTTTTTCGGTTGGAGGAACGTCGGAAGATGCTTGTTCAGGAGTTGCCTCCTTAATAACCTCCTCATCCTCTTCATGAGTCATGTCTAGAATTTGATCATCTTGAGGAAAAGATTGGGTCTCATTGGCATCCTTAGGCTTCCTTACTAGAGCATCACCGTCATCCTTATCCTCATCTTTGGCTTCAGACTCAGACTCAGATTCCTCTTCAGCCTAACTTGGAGGTGGAAGAGGAGGAAATGGAAGAGGAATAGCTTCAGCCTTACGCAACGGCGAGTCATCTGGGACATTGAGTTTTTTGGCAAGGGCCATCCAACTGAGGGAGAAGCCCCTGTTGCATGCCTGCCTAACTTGAAGTTTATATTCCTCAGTGACGTCGGCCATACCCTGGGCATAGGCCTTCTCATCGACTTCTTTGATTTCAGCATTTTTTGTGGCCAGAGCCTCCTGAAGCTCTTTCTCAGCCTGAACCATTTTTGATTTAAACTCCTTTTCAGCTTCGGCAACCTTTCTAATAGCCTCAGCAGACTCCGCTTTTTCTTCGGCCATCTGTTGGGCCTTAGAAGCGGCCTCAGCCTGATCTTCCAATTTCTTCATCTTTGATTCAAGAGATTTACTATCCTTTTTGAGGGCAGAAACCTCCCTCTTCAAGTCGACCACTTTTTGCCGATTTTCAAAAGATTGCATCGAAAACGAATGGGCGTGCTGGATGGCCTAAAAGAAAACAGAAGTGTTAGAAAATCTTCTAAGTATGAAGCAGAAAAAAAAGACAAAACAAGAAACACTTACTTGAACGGAGTGCTGGAGCATTAGCGCGTAGTTTTCATACACGCTGTACCCAGCATTTCGCTCCAGATCGCTTGGAAGAAGAAGAGCAGTATTGAGGGCGACACCGACATTAATGTCGTCGGCACTATCAGTTGACATAATTGGCCTATCCTCCAAAGTCAACTTTGGTGCCCAGGGGACATCGGGTTTCTTGGACCCCGAAGTTGTAGCTGAGGCAGACCTCGGTTTTTTTGATTGGGTGGACTCGGAGGGCTGGGTTTCGGCAGACCTTTTTGCAGGAGCAGAAAAAGTCTTCTTACTCTCAGCCAGTTTTGAGATAAGCAAACTATCCTCAGCCTCAACAGCTTTGGCCTTAGGCTGGGCCTTCTTGATTCTTTTTGGCTTTGGTGGGGGCATTGGTTGGGATGGTACAGCATCAGCATCAGTCGGGAGGTCGGCAAGGAGATTTTGGGCAATTGGCTTTGCACGACCCATTTCGGCAGTTTTGACAAGGCGTCGCTGACGTTTTCTTTCTGGTATTGGGATCAAGTATGGGGCCGAAGTGGATGGTTGATTGGTTGGGTCAGATGTGGACTCTTGATCTGTTCGGGATGAAGAAGCGGTTATAGTTGTGGCAGTAGGTGGAGAGAGGCTCTTCTTCTTTTTCTTCGGGACGTCGGGCAATGTGGATTTGTATGTCAGAATAAAGTTTAGTAATAGTGGAGCTTTGTGCTTGTGGATTGGAAGATCAAGAAGCTTCTTTAAATCTTTTCTTGGGAAGTACGATTGGCGAAAGTTTTTTGGTGGCTGATGAAGATCTGCAGGACAAACAAACAGACATTAGAAACAGAAAAAATTTTGAAGACTTGGAAAAGAAATAACTAAGTATTAATGCTGGGCTCTTACCCTTGCCCTCTTTAACTGTTCGAGGAAGAGGGTAGAGTTGAACATCTTCGTCTGGACCAAATTCCCAATTTTCCGAAGCAATGACAAAGTCATCCCCGGCTCCCTTGTTGGAGTCCGGGAGGTCGGCTACAATTTTGAATTCAGTAGACCTCGGCTTGAGGTAGTAAACGTAACCTCTTTCCTTCAGGTTAAGGGGGCACATGGTATAACAATATTGTACATCGACAAGGGTGATCCTAACATTTTCCTGCCTAGTTAGGGCTATGATACCATTAATCACTCGATAGGAGTTAATGGTAAGTTGCATGGGGTTCAACTTATAGAAGTGGAGAACCTCACGAAAAAAGGGGATTGAGTGGAAGCTGGAGTCCGCACTCAGTAAAAGCTACTATAGGAAAGGGCAATGAATTATCCGTGAGCATGATAGAGTCATTATCTTCAGCCAGCCTCAAGTGGACATCGGCAGGAATAGAGAATTCTTGCCTAAAAAATTCAAGTTTACTTGGGGTGTTTACCCGGTGTCTCCACATACCCAATACGTCGGCTTAAACAAAGAAGGCTGTGTTTCAGAAGATAGGTGTTTCAGAAGGGTTGCTAGAACCTCGGTTTCAAAACTGGGTAAGGACTGGTAAGGTTTGTTCCAGTTTTTCCTAAAGATTGAAGGTTCTACAGACAAATCCCAAACCTAAAACTAAAGACGAAGATTGAGGGCACAGATCTGGTAAAGATACAAAAAAAACAGAGAATACAAGCAAAGTTTCAGAAACAAGAACAGGGATGGGCTATCAAGAACACGAAGAATACAAAAAGGTTAAGGGCCAAGAACAGTGGTGAAAAAGTGCAAAGTGTTCATAGCATGTGAAAAATCATGAAATAAGACGCATTCAGGTGAATGATTCACAAATAATGCCTAAGAAGAACAATAATAGCAAGAAACTTCAGAAACAATCAAAAATTAGAAAAAGTGGGTAAGGGGGTCAGCTGCTTACCAGATAAAATGAAACCGGAGCGATATTCGCCGAGATCAGACGACGGTTGTAACAGTGGTGAAAGCTTCGCAGGAATGGAAGAATAAAGATGGTCGCAGAATTTGGGGCTTAGAGCAAATGGCAGATTCGAAGAATGCTAGAGCTTTTAGAGAGAGAAAAAGCAAGAAATCAGAAATGCAAAAAGTGGATAAAGGAAGAGGGAAAGAAAAGTTTTATCAAAAAACTTGAAACGGCGGCAAAAGCAGGGCGTTTATTACGCATAGAGCAACGCACACGTCAGACGGCGCAGACGAGTGAAAGACAGCTTTCAGGCGCGTCACAGACACGGGCCAATGAAGACAAGGCACGTGAAAGAAACGGTTAGATGTGCATGACAGCTCATGCGCGTGGTGGAGTTCATTTGAATTCTTGTTCTCCGAAGAGAACATATCGGCTTGAAAATGAATTATCTCGGCCAAACAGTTTCTTAGCCACTATGCAGAAAGAAATATCGATATAGGTTCCATCACCTCAGAATGCAACCCTATTTCAGCTACAAAAGTTATGGGGATATATTTCTGGATACCAACACGTGGCATGGCGACGCCGACGTGTCAGCCGAAGTGCCACGTGTCGTGGTAGTTACGCCGAGGTGATCTCGGAGTCGCCGAGATTATCTCCGAAGATATCGGAATCCGAGGTAAGAAGATAAGGGACAAGAGTCCTAAGACAACGAGGAGACTTAGCCAAGATAAGGATAAAGCTCTTAGGGAGTTTATCTTTATCTCTTGAAGAATCCAAAGTCAGTATTGAATTGGAGTCCATAGAAGTCAGGCTTCTAGTGAGACTAGGATTGAGTAAACTATAAAAGAGAGGCATCCACATGGGTCTAAGGTACGCAGTTTTATACTCAAGCTTGTGAGTTTAGCACTTGATTTATCTTTGAGAGATATACTGACTTGATCGTCGGAGTGCCCCCGAGTGGAAGAGCCACTGCCGGAGCCCTTTCTTTCTGTTACAGGTTACTGGAGTCATCTATTCTGACGGTGCTCTCTAGCTGATTACTAGGCGGGCAGTGTGGTACGAAAATTACCCACACAAAACTCAATTTCTAGCCTTACATTGAAGAGCTATGAAACTCAATCTCTATTTTAGTCTTACACTTACAGAGATCAAATAATAATCAACTACACCCAAAAATTGTATCTCATTCTCAGAGTTAAGAGTCCATTTCACGTGCTTTATAACAAAAACAATAATTATTAAAGAAAAATCATAGAAGAGGTATCCTTCAAGGGGAAAAAAAAATTAATAAATAGATATATTATTATATACGTAAAGAGGAACCAACAGAAACTCCCACAACGCAACCAATCAAATGTAATTATGTAACCTCAACCTCACATTGCAAACACCCCATAACCCCAAACCAAACATGGCATAAAAAGGATGCATAAATTCTCTTTACAGACCCTCTCTTTGCTCCGTTACCCACCTCTTTGTGCGGAGATCTAACAGACCACTAAAGTGCCACTCTAACTGCTAGAAAAGACCCGCAATTTCTAGAATGCAGCAACCATAATGCCAAGATCCAATTGAGATTTACCCAGCCCACCCTCTAACTAGCCAAATCTCTAACTAAAATGTGGTTAAGCCGCAAAAATTTACCATAAGGATGGCAAATCATTATATTGCCACATAATATTTTTATCTTGGTCACATCATATTTGGGTCTCTGCTTTAGCAGGAAGAGCAACAAGTCCAGCCTTTGTATCTTAACAGTCCTAGACTGTTTACAAATTGCATTTTACAAAACATCATTTAGACTCAATAAAAACAAATTGCAAAAAAAACAAGCAGAGTACAAAAGGAAAAACCCAGGACAGCGAAACATATTAATAGAGATTGGACAATAAGATATGAAAGATCATGTGAGAAAGATACTGAAGCTTGCAGGGAAGGACGAAAGAAACACAATCCTCATCACAACTTTTTTAAACTACATGTAATCCCCAGACCCAAACCCGAGTAAAATTTTCCAATTCCTTTAGAAAGACAAGAAATTTAATTTAGTTAACACCCCATTATTAGAACATGCAATAAATTAAACCTAAAACCCAACTGAGATTGTCAACATGTAAAATAAGGTAAAACTATAGAATAAATGATTTGGTTATCATTAAAATGTATCAATAAATAACCCGCCAAATGAATTCCACTTGCACTGTTGATATATACTCAAATAGCAAAAAGAGAAGATCATAATGTATCAAAAAGAAACCCCAGAAATAAAATCACTGAATAAATACATTAATACTGATGCATCAACCAAACACATCCAGAAATAGAATCACAGAAAAATCAAATAACAAATTTCCAGCAGCCACAAGGTCTGACATATAATAACAGTGCAGCCACTCTCATTTTCAACCCATTAGAAATAAACCAATATATGAAATTTTTAATACCAAATAAAATTGAGTGAACAAATTAATATACTGAAAAGAGTAGATCATAATGTAGCGAAAAGAGTAGATCATAATGTAGCAAAAAGAAAACCCATAAATAAAATCACTGAATATATTAATTAATCCTACAAAAACAAAAAACAAAAAATAAATAAATCAATGCATCAACCAAAAAACCCCGAAATAGAATCACACAAAAACCAAATTAAAAATTTCCAGTAACCACGGATCAATTGCATTCTCAACCCATTTGAAACAAACCCAAATATGAAATTTTCAACACAAAATGGAAACTTTATCAAAAAAGAGTTGAATTATATTATTACCTCAATGAAATGGGGACGAAGGTCCTTAAGAACAGCTCGCATCTTGAAGTACTTGGAGTTCTGAATATGCCCATTTTGGTCAAGAGGTCTCTTGTTATTCTTTTGAGGCAAAGGAGGAAGATGAGGAGGAGGGAGATTTTGGGTTATGTTTGGTGGGTTTGGAATTGGGTTTTGAGTAGGTAATGTAGTTTGGGCAGTTTCAGATTCTTCCATTGGTTGAGGAATGAGATTTTGAGATGGGTTTGGTGGGTTTGTATTTAGGGGGTTTTGGGTAGGAATGGCAACCGGGCGGGGCGGGGCCGGGGATCACACTCCCCATCCCTGATCCCCGATGGTGGAAATCCCCCCGTCCCCGGCCTCGATCCCCGACGGGAAACCTATATTCGCCCTCGTCCCCGCCCCCCAACGGGAATCGGGTTTCCCCGACCCCGAACAACCCCCGACCCTTTTTTTTTTTTCTTTTTGGAAAACTGCTTTGAAGCTGAAGGATCAAAAAAAAAAAAGATCAACATGGAGAAACAGAGAGATCAACACCAACAGATCATCATGTATCATCATCAACAACAGATAAAAAAAAAAAGAACAGAACAGATCAAAAAACACCAACAGATCCAAAAAAAAAAGAAGAGATCAACAACATATTATCATCATCATAGAATAGATCTCAAGATCTATGCTTCAATCTATAATATATATACATATATACATATATATGTGTGTATAACACAGAGAAAGAGAGAGGGATAGAGATCGACGCTGTGAAGAGGAGATCGGCGAAGGAGTCGGCGGAGGAGGTTCTCTTCTCTCGGCGGAGGAGATCGGCTCCGGCGAAGGATCGGCTCTCTCTCTCTCCCTCTCTCTCCATTTTTCTCACGCAGCTCCCTCTCACTCCATTTTTCTCACACAGCAGCGAAGTGATTGTGTGTGGTGGATCGTTCACTCAAGACTTGATAAAGTTCAGTGAGAGAGAAAAGAGTGGAGAGTTCAGTGAGAGAGTTGAGAGAGAGAGAGAGAGAGAGTGAAGAGTCAGAGTGAAAGACAGATCTGAGATAAAGTTTAACATATCTATAATATATAATATAATAAAGCTGAGATCTGAGAGTGGAGAGTCAGCCTAGCCTAAACACATATATATAATA